GGCAACTGGCTACCGCGCAACGTGTCGCGGGTTCGATTCCCGCACGGAACAACTCTTTGTGTGATCCACAGATTGTTGTTCCGGGTCTGGGTGTGATGTGCATGTGAAATTGTATGTTTGTAAACGCACCCACGACACAGGAGAAAATCCTAGTGTGGAGCAACGTTTATTTAAAGAGAAAAAAATCAGTAAGAGTCTAACTCTTGCTCTCTTCTCTTACGGCCACGTGCGGACGGGAAAGGTAACTTTTTTTATTTGATAGGTCGGCAAACGAGCAGACGGGTTACCTGATGGTAAGCAATCAGCGCCGCCCATGCACACCCGTAATACCAGAGGAGTTACGAGTGCGTTGCCGACCTTTTGGGGATTAGGAATTTGGGAAATTTGGGGATTGGTAAGGGATTTGGGGAACTTTCATGATCATCCCCACAATAAAATTATATGTATGTTGGCATGTTTTGAAGTGGAATCTCCTTTTTAAAAGCAAGAGTACTAATGCCGAGGGAAGTGGAAACTATTTGGTTTTTTCTTCTTTCTTTTTCTTCTCCTCAAATAATATCTTCTGATTTATTTCGTTTCGGGATCCAATACAGCCATTCATGTCCTTGTGACGCGCCAGACTTCAGTGTTCCGGTATTTTCACGGTTGTATCTACTGTAGATCTTGGCTTACAGGAGTTACAGCGGTTTTGGGAGGTTGCAGCGGGCTTGTCCCATTAAAAAGAGTACAAATGGTACGCAGTATAACATAAACCAAGATTTTCAAACTGTGCGATAAGTTTGTACACACAAATATAACCTACATACTAGACATTATTAAGTTGTATGCCGTATACATTTTTCTTCTTTGACATACAACTAATAACGGGTTTCTTAAATAAATGTGTTACCGAGCAAAGACATTCGTATTTTCTTTCTGGATATCAAAGATACATTTATACCACATCACAGGTTATGTATTACATAACTTATATATGTATGTATGTGTACATACCTACATCATATAAATATCAGAAACCGTCTAAGAAATAAAATGTAAATGGCGTCGGCAAAAGGAGACGAGTTTTACCCCACCCTGTACTACAATACAGCGTGTTCAATATTAAGACTTGCCAATATTAATTCTGAAAGAGATGAAATTTGAATGGAAATAAATTGTAATGTCGTCGTTGGTATTACTATTTGCTTTTTGCGGGTATATAGCAGGCTGGGGAATAAAAGTATCTAAATATATACTCTTGTATTATTGCGGTATATTTAAATTGCCTCCCTGGGTGCTTTAGGTTTTTTCTTTTAGCTAATAATAGAATGTTGATGCTAAATTACTAATTCTATAAGAGGTATTGTTTTTTGTTTTTCTCCACTGAATAGAAATGTTACGGCTTAAATACTGCACGATGTTTGCTGACAAGTATGTTTCGGTTAGGTAAGTAGAGTGGTTTTACTCAGTAAAATTCAACACTCCCTCACGCCTCTCCCTTAGCGACAAAGGTCAGTTGATAATTTTCTCCCGCCTAAATGGTCGTAAAAAACAAGTCTGTCAGTCGTACAAAAATAGTATCCTATAGAGATGGCTAAGTGATACAAGCAAATTCAAAATTAATCTACTAAAATGCATTCGTTAGAAAAAAAAACTTGTAAAATGTTTCTCTAAACTCTTTTAAATAAAGATTAAAAAAAAATGTTTCTTGGGGACAGTTAGACCATCAAATAATAACAATACAAATCACCATTTCACAAATATACGAGTAATTACTCCTAATTGTAAACATAGCCTCAGTAATGAGACTCGTTCTATCTCCTCTAATTCAACTTATCCCGCTTTAATAGAATGGACGTCGGCAAAATATTTTGATTTATTTCACAAAGCCGAACCGTTTAGATACGAGTAGGTACGTATAAACGGCTGCACAATAATCTATACCAATCTGTCAGAGTTCGTAGATACATTTCCAACTTTAAAACAATACTATAAGATTGAAATTGTTTTAATGAAATTTTACGCTTGGAGGTAGGTTGACGTGCCTGTGTCCAAACAGTCCCGTACACTAAATCCCGGCTCGACTGATTAATTACTGTTGAATGTACAAATATAACGCGGAATTAATAATTCTATCGATATTGGAAATCGAGAATCAATCAGAATAATAGGTCGGGATATAAATTTGAACGGGAATTAATACCGGGCGAGACTGTTCGTGTATTATAATTACTTTTTTGGAACAATGCTTCTGTCTTAATGGATTATTTGTTGCAAATAAATTCTCGAAAATTCTTTGTGATAACATGGCTTTCAGGAATGTAGCTGGCGCAAGGAGTTAACCTATTCCCCTATTTCATAGAAATCATGGCGGAATAGAAATAATGAATGTTTTTGTATTGACACTCACACTCTATGCTGACCGGTAACGAAGCGATCTTCACTTTTATTTTTTCATTCGGAAATTATTGATTCGTTATACGACAAAATAATTAATCTATTTTAATGTCGACGGTTCTTAAATACTTCGATCGCTTTCTAACTCCATAATCCTCATAATCATAATAAATAAGCCCTAAAACATTGTAAACATGTATAACAATGATTTACAAAAACCATGCTTTGATTTTAAATAATAAAGTTATGAAGTCTTAAAGGATATCTGCGATTTCGCGAACTGACATCGTTTGCAGTTTTAATTAAATCTCTGCTTTTTTTTGTAACATAAGTGTAGGAGAGCCGTGCTTCTTCCGGTTATCCCGACCGGAGTAATACTACGACCTCACTCTACCACATCGTTGTTTTTCACTGAGTGAATCCCTTCGCTATCCCTACCCAGCCCCTAAATCTAAGAAACCCTAACCCCCAAGTCCGGCAACACACTTGTAACGCCTCGGCTGTTGCGAAGGTCCATGGACAGCTTTCCATCAGCTTACCATCACATAATAAAAGATTTTTTTTAAGTAACCTAATGACTTTTTTGACTGCACGGTTGGTGCGGTGGCTGGGACGTGTCGCGGGTTCGATTCCCGCGCGAAACAACTCTTTGTGTGACCCACAAATTGTTGTTTTGGGCGGGTGTATGTGAATTTGTATGTTTGTAAACTCATCCACAAAACAGGAGAAGATCCTAGTCTGGAGCAACGTTTTATTAAAAAAATATATAAATACAAAGGTGAATAAGTATATTACAGTAGGTTGTTTTTTAAATTTAAATTAACAAAACAACACGGAACCAATGGTGGCTAATAGGCTCACCAGTAATGGGATTGCGATTTATCATTGTGATCCACAAATTGTTGTTCCGGGTCTGGGTGTCATGTACTTGTTAAATTGTATGTTTGTACACCCACGACACAGAAGATAATCTTAGTGTGGGGCAATGTTTTCTTTTTAAACAAACAATAACAAAAACTTTCAAAATAAGTTAATGTTTTAATGCTCAATTCATCAAAATTATTAAACGCTTTATATACTGCATAAAATTCAGATTACCAACGGCACTGAAGTTGCCTATCAGTTAATACTTCGATGCAGTCACATTCATCCTTTGTGCATTCCAGCGCAGCGCAATCTGATTCATTTAAATCGTACTTACTTTCCATCATTCGTCAGCGATTTTTCGTGAATCGAATTAAATGTTCAACTGTTAATTCATTTTCTGATTTCGTTGTTCAAATGTTTTTCTGTATTTTTCATTATTTAGTTAATTACAATGTTATTGGAAGGTTTAGCTCTTCCAAATTTGAAGAATGGCGTGTCGTGTCGTGACATGATATGACACACCAGGCAAATTCGTCTCTAACTATATTAAATGTGGGCTTTACTCATATCTATAATTATAGACACGTGCACATATACAGTGGCAGTCTATGTATATAATTGCATTTAAATGCACTGACTGCACGGTTGGCGCAGTAGCTGGGCAACTCGCTTCTTTGCAACGTGTCGGGGTTTCGATTCCCGCACAGAACAACACTTTGAGTGTTCCACATATTGTTGTTTTGGGCGGGTGTATGTGAATTTGTATATTTGTAAACTCATCCACGACACAGGAGAAAATCCTAGTCTGGAGCAACGTTTTATTAAAAAAATATATAAATTCAAAGGTGAATAAGTATATTACAGTAGGTTGTTTTTTAAATTTAAATTAACAAAAGAACACGGAACCAATGGTGGCTAATAGGCTCACCAGTAAAGGGGTTGCAATCCATGGGATTTATTGCAAAACTCGCTGAAAGTGGATTTTCAACAAACCTCGTGTACAGGCTGTAATGTATCATTTAAATGTTAATTTCATTAACCTGAATTATATACCTGGGTGGTTCTGTAAGCCACACACACAGATTAAACACAAGCTCTGTATTCCTCTGACTTTGGGCCAGCCATTAACTTATCATTACGAACACGCCATTTAAATAAAAACAAATAAGGGCTTAAATATTTTAATGGCAACATTAATTTTTACTTAACCACAGGCTAACATCGTCTCTTGAATAATTCTAAACGAATTTTTACATTCAAATAAATCGTTTTAGCAGAAATGTTTTACTAAAATATATTTTATTTGAGTTTAAAAATTAATATAAATATTTTTATTCTATTCTATAATTAACTTAACTACAGTTTGTACTTCGTTTAATTTATAGCTGGCAACATTGTTAGTATAAAGTGTTTACCACAATGAGCTTGGCACGGCTTCAAATTCACGATCGATTGACCGGAATCTCAATTAGTCATTGAACCAATTGTAATGACACTAATCACATCTTATTTAAAGACAATAAGTTTCGACACCGCATCATCTAATGCTATAAATAAGGAGTGATTAACTAACTTGTTGTTTTATAATAGTATTCATGATAAATGCTAAATACATGAAGGTGATAATTGAGCATTAATCATTGCCAAGTGGAATGGTACCTATTCTAATACCCATCTGCATTCGTCACTCAATGCCTGTCCCTCTAAGGACTAGACAAGAGTAAGCGTGTTAACAAGGTTAAGGAACAATGAACCTTTTATCTTTCGTTGTTAGATTCAGAATTCTCCAAATTCTGTCCCTCATCACTTAAAATACTATCCAATATATTTTCTTCGTCACTCCTCGCCGCTGCGTCACCCGCTTTACCCAGCACTTCATTCAGTATTTCATCTTCATTCACTTCACCATTTACCATTTCGACATTGTCACTATCTATCTTATTTTCAACCTGTTCACTTTCTTCAGGCACTTGATTATTATCTTCAGTTACTTCAGGAATCTGACCTACATCGTTAGATTCTTCTTTCATTGCGGTATCTCCTGCTTCAGTCATTTCCTCGTTTAATTCCTCTTTTGCTTCTTCATTCTTATCTTCGTTCACGTCTTCCTTTTCACTTACTATCATTTCTTCATTCTCATCGTCAGCTACTGCTCCATCCATTTCTTCATCTTCTATTCTAGATGACTCTTCCTCTTCGTTTTCTTTAGATTCGTCTATGGTTTCTTGTCGTTCCACTTTTAATGTTGACCTTCTGGACTTTTGTCTAAACGCTTCTTGTTGTTCCTCGTCTTGATCATTCTGAGTGACTGATACGTCATCACTAGTATCTGATACTTCGCTTGCTGCGTACCCATTCTTTAAGCGTTCTTGTCTCTCCTGCCTGGTTTTTTGTTTAACTTCCCATAGTGAAGGTGTACGTTTCGAATTATCTTGAGTTTCTCCGTCCGGATTATAAAGTACAATGTCGTCGGTGTATCGAAGTACTGGCTGTGGTGGATATTTGTCCCTATAAGAATAAGGTAATTATTATTTTCTTTATAAAAATATTGAAGAAGCGGTTTGAAGGGTGGGCTGCGTGCGAAAGGTACAGCAATCTGTTGAGTTTTTTATAGAATTAATGAGGAGTTTGGTTTCTAGAAATAGACATTTTAAAAATACAAATATAAACCGTATTAGGAATAATAACAAGTAGGTGCATTAGACTTTAGACAACATTTGGATTACAACACAGGTAGAGATATTACAAGGTTTCGGAGTAGGTGCGAATGAATACATTTCTGGCACCTTTACAGACGCGAGATGACAACTTGTTGATACAATAATGACGGTCCTAAAATTCTAGATCATCGGAGTCAGTGTCGGAGTCCCAGCTAAAACAAAACATGATTGAGTAGTAACAGCATCTGAATATAAATATGTAATGATTTTTTCGGTACTGATTTGTAGCAACAGTGTTTGGTAATGTATTGTTATTATTTTCCTCCCTCGGATGCTTTATTCTTTACAAATTGGTTGTAGTCACCATGGCAGAGGAGGCCACTAGTTAATTTTATGTTTTATGTAATGTGATAAAGTTTTACTCTATTAATCATTGGGTTTCTCGACTCTTCAATTCAACAATCTCTGGTACATATTTGACTTAAATGATTGCAACTTTAAGTAGAATTAGAGTACTATAATATTTACTTTAGAAAATTAGTTTAGTTAAGTTATTTAGTCGATGCCAGTGAGAGATGAATCCAATATTGCGTCATGGTAAATCTATAATTACAACTTCTATTTAAGTATTACATTATAAATAAAATGTTCCCCACCTGCGAGCATCTTCATATTTGCTGGGCACCATAAAACAGTTTGATTCTCTGTATATAAGCCTCCTCTTGCTAACCCAAGGCCATTGCAAACTCCAGTAGTGGCTCTGAAAAATTATATCATTCACTTCAAAAATAGTTTAATTGGGACAAAAATTTATCTTATCACTTTACAAGCTTTTACCCGCGACTTCGTTCGCGTGGAATAGTGACTTCCTGTGGATTTTTGGTATAAAAACTATCCTATGTCCTTTCTGGAGTTCCAAACTATGTCTGCACCAAATATCACAGAAATCTGTCCAGTAATTCAAGCATAAAGAAAAGGCAGAGAGACAGACAGAGTTTCTTTCTCATTCATAATATTAGATTGGATCTAATTGTGTTGTGTAAATGTTGGATTTGTCCAACATTTTACATATGGTACATAAAATTATATATAGACTAAGCTGGAATTGCGAATGTAAGCGCAGTAATGTATAATGTGCCTCCTAAGTCGAAGCAAGAGAAAGAACAGGGTGGATTTTAGTCAGCAAGAGTCTGACACTCTCTCACAGCTCACCAAGGGCAAAAGAATTAATTTAATGATTATCCCCTATCAAAAAAGGTACATTGCTAATGTCATAGAAGCAACGATATTTGGATTAGTACCATAAAATAAATTAATCTTAAATCAAATACCACAAGCGGTACCAAATTACAGGAGTACTTTATTAACAAAACAACTTTCTGTTAATTGAATAGAAAATTATAATCGAGACACGACAGTTTTGATTGATGAAACATGTTTTTGTTAGCTGAGTAATATTCATCCAAAACTTTTATGGGAAATGTTAAAACGTAATTACTATTCCACTAGAAAAATACCAGTAGAATTCATAAAGTAATATAACTGGTATACTTGCATTTAATTTTATAACGAATATTTGGATAAATAAAAGTGTCATTAAATTGGTATGAACCTTTTGTATAAGAGAATAGTAGCTTTTTTTTCTATGACCTATGGCTTATTTTAGTTGTGATAGAGCCATGCTTTGGCACGAATGGGTCGGCTCGACCGGAGTTATACAACAGCCACACAGAAAACCGGCGTGAAGCAACCACAGTGTTGTGTTTCGCGCTTGTAAAATTGGTCCTCCGGTAACCTCACATTACCGGAGGCCTGATCCTTATCTTCCCCCAATCCCTAAATCCCCTAAGCGCTAATCCCCAAAGCCCTAATCCCCAAAAGGTCGGCAACGTACTCGTAACTCTTCCTTTGTTGCTTTGGGCGGCGATAATTGCTTGCCATCAAGTAATCTGTTTGCTCGTATCGTCCTATCACATAAAAGATGACCTTTTTCTTTGTCTCGTTATCCGAGGCCTAATCACTCTCGTTCCCCAATGCAATCGCAACTCTGGCCGGTGTCTATGGACGGCGTCGATTGCTTACCATCAGGTAAAATCATTGACTAGCCAATCAAAATATGTATGATCTGAAATCATTGTTGGCTACATCTTAAGTCTCTGACCAGCTATTGTTACTTCAACTTAATACCTTCTAATGCCCAATAGTCTGAAGTAGATTAAATTATTAGTAGCTATTATATAGATAAAAAATCAATGGGTACATACCACTCTAGCGCACACCCTCCTCTTTTTGGCCTTCTCTTCTTCCTTTCTCCTCTCCTCTTCACTGTCATAGCCGTCAACCTAGACAAAAAGGATCATTGAGTTATAGCCTAAGAATAAGGCACGAATTTAATGTAACATCTGATTCCGAGATTCCGATACATTCTGCTTCATCATCATCAACTGCTTTAATACAACTACTAATAAAACAAACCCCTTCTTTAAAAAGAGTTTTCCATAATCCTTGGCAGGTTACTTATCCTGATCTCCATTTTAGATCCCCGTTAGTTTATTGAAATTTTTGAAACTGCCGTCATCCGAAGTGGATGACAGCAATTTCAAAATTTTCAGTCCATGCTCATCATAATCATCATCAGTTGAAGGACTGTGCAACAAACACCTATATAATATCCCCGACAGTGGTGGTTTATTGTAGCTTTAAGACATACCCGGCTTCAATTTCTTTCTATCAGTGAGAAAGGATAAATAAATTTCCCCAATCTGACATCAAAATCTAGAACGTCAAGGTCATATAGGTACTTAACCAATAAAATGACCGAATAACAAACATTATCGCAAGTAAATCAAATCTATAAATAGTAACATTGAATAAATGTTCATATAAACTCATCATATTACGTTGTTATATCAACTAAGGAGTTGAATACAAAGGAAAATGATTATTTCAATAGAAACTTAATTACAATCAGACAGAAACGGCATTATTGTTGACAGATACAAAGCCTTGAAAGAGAGATAGAGAATGAGAGAATAGTGCGACGCTATATCGCTTTCAAATCGTTCATGTTTAGTCGTCAACAGATAATAATTGTTCCAGGCAATGTCTTGTTCCTTATACCAAAGTGCTATGTAGGTTTGTTGAAGAAAGCATGTACGATGCAAGAAAAAAATAACTTTAGGGCCAAGCTCTGAATATTATTTTTCTATCTGCATTTAAAAAAAGATTTTATGCTATTTTTTGTAATGATTTTCATCAACAATTTTACCCGTTATTTAGAAGAAGTTTCCAATTTTATTGAGGAGAATATATCAAAAACAAAGAGACACAAAAACCACTATTAACAAAAACTATTAAATTAAATGCAGTATACTCACTAATGGATCCTCATAGCAGTAGTAAGCGTCTTCTTCATCATCAGGCCTATTAAAGAGAAATATGAAATTGGTTAAAAATAATAAAACAATTTGTAAAATAAGTTATAAAAAAAAGTTTTAGTCCAGGTTTACATTGACAACCGCACTAGGTGAAGCCTGTATCGTGGTTATCAACAATTCAATTTCCTTAGGACTACTGCATCTAAAATATTAATACACTTCTAACATCAATCTACATCCAGCATGCATGTAAGCCAGGCCAGGTACAAACCAGGCCTACGTTAGAGGCTCTGCAGCTAGTCTACATTGTATTCTCAGGCCATTCGAACGATTATAATCAAGCAATGATTCCCCATCCCTTTGTCTCCCCGAAAAGCGTTGACGCCCTTTCAAGATATCTTCTCGATGTCAAGAAAAGACAACAATAAGAGATCTTTCGAAATAAAAATAAAATGTATCGACACTCTTCTGATATCAGGTCTAGGCTCATTTCCTCTACCATCCATACTCACGATGTAACAGACAGCTTCAGATGGATGCCAGACTCGACAATGATGTCATGAGCCTGCTGGATAGTAAGGGTCGAGGTGTCCAGGTCATTAATCCTCAGCAGCTTGTCTCCAGGTCTTATACCAGCCTTCTCAGCTCTGCTGTCTGGCTTTACCTATACGAAATGAAATAATATACATTAATTGAGAAATATTGCACTATTAAGGGATCTGGCTATTGTAAGCAACTTACACATTACTTTAGTCGCTCTTTTGGAGGTTAGAAAATTGTCTCATTTCTATATCTAAATATTATTATCAACTACCCTCAATTATAATAATTTATCAGAGGACCCATTATACTTACAAAAGTGACCCGCAACGGTGTATTATAAAATATTCCACCAGCTAGATCGAAACCCCATATCGTGTCTTCGAAGCTGATCCTCTCGTGGATGCCCTCGTTCCTGGACTCCCATGAAGGTTTGTTCAGCTCACCGGCTAAAATAGCTGCCTCCTCAGCCTTCAACTTCGTATGTCTCATAGAAATCGCCATGTCTGGTGGCATTACCCTGAGAGTGAAGAAAAAGACAATTTAGGCTTAAAGAATAAGTGTAGGTTGGTAGATCGGACCGTGGATCATTATAGGCTGATTTTGAATTGAGATTTGTTATGTGATAAGTCGGCAAACGAGCAAACGGATTAACTGATGGTAAGCAATCAGCGTCGCCCATGGACACCCGCAATGACGGCGGAGTTTCGAGTGCATTGTCGACCTCTGGGGATTAGGGATTTGGAGATTTTTGAAAGGGAACGGATTGATTCTCCTATCCCTTCCGTTCCGTTCCGTTGGGCTTCCTCGATTGTCTTTCATCCCTCAATACTGACCACTCTTAATATCCTAGACCAGAAAGCACATTAACTCACATTATAAGTAGCCACACACGTATCAATACAATCGTTATTCCATAAGCCGACCTAATAAATTGCTTTCTAGACATCGATACGAAGACAGTTCTCATCCCTCATGACAAACGACGTCACTTCCTACATACAGCCCGAATTTCCTTGACGTACTTAATACTTGACATAAAAAGGGTACATTTTAAGTTACTGCAAAAAATATAGGCACTTGGAGGCTTCTTTAGCGAAATGTTAGTCATTCTACTGAAATATTGTATACAATTTATTTCAGATATTAGGTTAGGCAAAGTAAGCGCTGCGGTCTGAAGATCTTGTATAAAATATTAAAGTAATTTTCGTAGTGCGAGGTGACGATCATCGTATCTTACAACGCCCTGTATGTGGAAGTTACGAGGACTAATTTATGAAATACTTAAACAGCGTTACTGATGGAAGAAAGGCTTATTATAAAGTGATAGACTGCCTCGCTAGTCAAAAAGTCACAGCGTGGCAGTATTTTGAAAAATGCTTATGTTTAACTTAATACCGGATAAAGTATTATATAACAGGCAAAACTAATAAACTGATCACCAACATTTTTGTGATGAACACCAATGACCTTTTTTATTAATGTACATTTGGTGTCCGAATAAGTATAATTTGAACTGCAAGAATGAAAAGTCTCAAAGCAATCCATTTTAGATAATCCAGATTAGAATATTATTCGATTTATCATAATGAAAATTAGTTTACTAACGATATCTACACAAAATGGCTGATGTAAGTAATATTACATAAAATAATAAAAATATATTAACTACCATTTTTACATTTTCTTTATATACGTGAAGAACATAATATAGTATATCTTATAATATACATTGCGAGCAGACAGACAACGTAACCCCTACATCAAACATGACCAGTTGATTTTAATAAAGAATTACATAAAGTAATGTCCTTGTTCGTCTGAAGGGTAATATTTAAATCAAAAGTTGTAAGCACTGCCCCTTAAGGCATGACGGCGGTGACTAGCGTGGCTACAAAAACTGCGAACATATTCGTCATCACTTTACGAGACATCTAAAATGTATCTCCGGTAGTTAGTGATGCTCCATAATTCATGATCATCAGCCCATAAGTTCCCACTACTGAGCAAAGGCCTCTTCTCACACGGAGAAGGTTGATAAATAATCACCAAGCTTGCTCAAGGCAGATTGGCGATTTCAAACTTAACATTAAAATTATAATTAGAAATTTTAAAACCAGGTTTCCTCACGACTTCACCGTTCATCCATAATTGCACAGGACAAATCCTTCAGACATTAACTTCATAAAGATTGCTAAAGCATAACTAATAGAATCGGTAAAACAACTATGGAGATCTCGAAAGAAACGCGCATAATTTATTTATAGTTAATATTATAAAGAGCAAAAATCTGTAAGTGTGTATTTAGGGGGTAATCTTTCGAACCGCTCTGGTCGGATTTACAAAATTCTTTCACTGATAGAGCTGCAATGTTCATGAATGCTATAGGCAGTTAATAATACATCAATGTGTATTTCAAATATAAATTCAAATTCTTCATTACATACTTTAATTTAGTCGAGATTTCGTTTTAAAACGCTGCTATTTTTAATTAAAATCTCGGGACACATTAGTTTTATACGCGATGTCACGGGCGGAAGCTAGTATTATATTATTACTAAGTGTAAAAGTTAAAGAATAAATTATGTATAGTGGACGTAAAGAAGTCGCCAGTTTCAAGGCCACAATTTTGAAATTCAGTATACAAGACGGCACCTGTTTTACATTACAGCTACACCCTAACTCCGGGCTCTCGCTAATAAGAGGAATAGCTTCATGTGACATTCCTCAAGCCTTTTATCGGCCATGTCAACAATGTCTCATTATAATGTGGCCTTTATTTTAAAAATAACTTTTGAATAAAATATATTAGCTTTTGCCTAGGACTCTTTTTTTATAACCCCCTAAGATTTTTTTGTTCGTATGATTGGTGTATTTATATATATGTATATTCTCTTTTCTTTCTTTTCTTTTGTTTTTAATAAAGCGTTGCCCCACATTAGGATTTTCTCCTGTGTTGTGGGTGCGGTTACAAACATACATTTTCAAATACACATAACACCCAGACCCCCACCCCAAGACGGCAGCCAGTTGCCCAGCCACCGCACCAACCGTGCAGACAAATCTCTAAATCTAACTGTTTTGCCAGTGTTCATCGAAATTGGCATAGTTTAAAACGAACCGACTTTCGCAATTAAGCATGATGAAGACTTATATTATTTTTTATATATATTATTTCTTTTAGAAGCGTTTTGTACTAAAACTAACATATTACAATTGGAACAAAAATACGAATATGCTGTACTTGTACAGGCAAAGAATGCATCACAATATTGTTTGCTACGTATTTTGCTACGGCGTAGCTCGGAATGCTACGAAATTGTTGTGCTACACAAATGGAATACTTCGCTACGCAAAAGGTTGTATACGTTTTAACCACATTCCTGTTTAGTATTACTATAAGTATTTGATTTATAATTTATTATCTACATCCAATAATGTATTCTATGCAATGAAGATTTAACGCACAATTTATTATTTTTATCACCACTACGTACGCGCATCATTAATTCCTGGCTATTTAAATGAGACACCCACTCGCACACAGCTCACTTGTATGTCACTCTTCTAGCTCATTCAGAAGTATTGACAACTTGTCACCGGCATATTTATAATACACTATTATAAGTGGATGCCATGCTTGGTGCGTGGCGTCTCTTTAGTGCCAATGCACCTTTTGACATCGCTTGGACATCTGCCCAGCCACAAAAGGAAGAAAATGATGACAAATTACAGAATTCACTGTTTGAGCCAGGTAATTTGTGAAAAGTATACCGTATTGAGGTGGAGGCTATAATAAGTTAAAATCTTATTGTTATTTTTTCTGTCTTGTGAATTACTTTCGGGTTTGTTAGGGTCCCGTCTCTTAAGGCTAAAAACGGAAACAACTAAGACTCTGCTATACATCCTATATACCAAGCACCGTGACTGCAAGACAGTCATATAAACAAAATCAAATAAATACTTAATGGGTATCATAATCTATTTTCCCATAGATGAAAATAGATTTTGATACGGAAAACTTAGTACTAACTTTGATTCGCACTTGATCGGTTCCTAAATTTCTACTCTTTCATTTCAACTAAATGGAAATGAAAAATTCTAGAATATCTTAGAATAATTCATCCTTCCTATCATTGAAATTCCCAACGAATTGAGTTCTTAGCTGACAATGATCATTAATGACTGTACATAGTATGTCAATGTCCAACACTCAATGATCTATTTACGGCTTAAATTAATGATGTTAATTAATTACAATCAATTTAAAATTCTTTAGCTAAACTGTGCGATCTCTTCATTGGATGCCGGGCTGAGGAGGAGGAGTCTCTGAGAGATATGATCATATATATGTATATAATTACATAGATGAAGGAATTATGTACTTTCGAAGTAATACTGTAACTACCTATATATATATATATCTCATTACATATATTCTTGCATCCATATATGTCTCAACTCACTCTCAACATCTCTCATGTGTGGTCGTGGTGGCCAGGAGGTTAAGCAGACCGCTTCTCACGCATGAGGGTGTGGGTTCGAAACCTGAAAAGTACCAATGTGACTTTTTCCGAGTTATATGTACTTTCTATGATTATTTAGACATCACTGACATACGGTGAAGGTAAACATCGTGAGGAAACCTGGACTTATAATTTCTAATTATAAGTTTGAAATCGCCAATCCGCATTGAGCAAGCGTGGTGATAAATGCTCTAACCTTCTCTGTATGAGAAGAGGCCTTTGCGCAGCAGTGGGCACATATAGGCTGATGATGATGATGATGATGATGATGATGATGATGATGATGATGATGATGATGATGATGATGATGATGATGATGATATATGTCTCAAACATTGCCCTATAAATTATTATATCTGTTTGTCTGCGTGTTTTCATATGAGAATTTAGATGTATCAAAAAATATTGAGATTTATATTGGACTCTGAATTCAAGAACTTAACGTTAATAAACATTTGATTTCATTCGACTTTAGCCGGGAATTTTAACTGTACAACTAGGGTCTGCCATGGAGACTTGTAGATGTATCTTTATATTATAGGGTAGTTCCTTTAGTTAGGTTAGGTAGGACTAACTGCAGAATTATATTCGCTATTTAGCATGTATAGTGTATGGAAGCAAAGAGCTATTAAACACACTAAGGTGATATTTCAGAGAATATACGATATATACACTAGTCGATTGAAACACGATGAAATCCTGTGTTGTTGATGATTTCTATGTACACAGAGTATAAATTCTTTAATTATATTTAACCACAAAAATAAGGTTAGGCAAAAACAAAGCGATTACTTTGTGAAAATGATCTTCTATTTTTTAATAATAAAAAGTATTTTTTCATGTGAGTTCTGAAAGCTTTCAATAAAACCTTCAATTTCAATATGACTGACAACCACATAAAAGATATCACCACTGGATAGACACTTCGGGAACGTTATCGAAATATAACAAAAATTAAAAAAAAAAACAAAGAAAAACATTCTACCTAGCCACG